CACGGGCACCCTGAAAAAGGGAAGCTATGTGCATTAATTATGTTGTTGAACTTTCGAGTTGGCAGGTGTTCTGTCTTAGAACTGCAAATGTTGCTTCTTCATGAACACACATACCATGTATAAAGGAAAATATCTCAGATAAAGATCTCTTACTGTAACTGATTGAAGTTTAATACTATCTTAAACTATCATAATGTTTAAAACCAAGACAGTCAAACAGTCTTAATAATACATTTTAAAACTATAATCTTTACCTTTGTTTTCTTTATTAATTCTTTTATTGGCAGCTTTAGGCCTTTGCTTTTTCGCGATGGTTGTACTGGAACCTTAAATAGATAAGGTTCACAAAACTTTAACACTCAAAATGTCTGACAATCTAAAGCAATTAAACACAGGCATATATATATATATATATATCTGCCAGGCTCTAGGTCAGTGCATAGGCAAATGGAGCCTGCTCTCTGTTCCCTTTTTTTGTCTCAAATGATGAACACCCTGGAACAAGCCATAACGGAATGAATAAAAAATTTAAACCTTTTCCGTTCTTCTCCTTATTGTTCATCTTAATGGGAGCTCCAGCTTTCCGTCTTTCGGTGGTGGTTTTCTTGGAAACTTGAGTAGACAATGTTCAAATTGATTCAGAGCATAGAATGCCTCACATACTAAAAAATTAAAAACTTTTACAATGCATAAAACTCACTGATGGTCTTATAAGGCTCATTCTATTTGAGAATAATCCATTTCACAGCTGATAATAAAAGGTTGAGTTTGTCACAAAACAGACGAAAAACCCAGCAAGGTTTGTAAAGTAATTATCAAGAATGTCATCCTTGACCCCATTCTTGTTGTTTGCCAACTAATTGTGCAACTGTGAAATGGACCATTCAAAGAACAATAAATTAAGAATAAAGTAACAATAAATTATTGAAAGTTAATTCTCAAACAAAATCTGGAAACTAGCACTACGCATGAACTGGCCATAAATGCATAGCAACATTCAGTTGGTCAGCTCAGGTACCACAGGAAACTACAGTCTGTGTAACTTAATTATGTCATTGTACAACTAAAATGTAAAACTTGCTTTTTGGAAGCTCTTGAGAGCATATCTCAGAGCTCCAAGAACATATCTTTGACATCGGTCTGGGAAGAGGAAAAGGAAGCTAAATGTTTACATGTGACACAAATGCACACTTTGCCTTAAACAGCACTTTGTTCCCCTTGTACCTTCAGGCTAAATGTCCAAAATGGTGACCTTTGTATCTGCAGTTCTTAGGAAATATTACTGCACTGTAACTCACTCTTGATCAACAAATGATTCATGCTTTGGAGTGGATTACAAGAAAATTAACTTCAAATTTGGGAGGCCAATTGTAGGGTTCTGGTAACAGTAAAGCTTTTACATTATGTAAAAATGGACTTAGCCAGCAACTACAACCTTTTGACCAAAAGCATACAATGCAAATTTCATCAACATTTTAACCCAGAATTGACAATGAAATCCACACCAAAACTCTTCCGCAATTCACAAATAGAAAAAGAAATTGGCGTCGGATCATGATGCATGCTGACACAAACTGACTGTACACTGTACACTACATCTAAGTGTACGTACATAGTTTTACCTTTTTGTTTGGCTCTAACAGGTTTCCTATTTAAGAATCCAGAGTCCTCTTCCTCTGTATCACTGTCTGTGTCTGTGTCAGTGTCAGAGCTCCCATCAGATTCAGAATCTGAGCTTTCTGAAGCACTGGAGTCGAAACCCACTGAGTACAAAAGAAACTAAACTTTTAACAAATAGTCAATGTCTACCTGTGGTAATTTTGAGTCACAATGACTTCAGTCTGGTTTGATTTGACCTAATGAGACTGCATTTAACAACAGAAGATAAATCTTTGACTTGGAGGAAGCAGGACACAACAGCAGTAAAATGGCTGATGGAGGGGACCCCTTCAGAGCCCTGACCACTGTGTATCTACGTGAAGGATTGCCGGTCAAAATCACATTGCCTCAAGTTTAAACACTTCAAAATTTAATTTAGGCACATTACTAATACAAAAATGATCATGTTATGCATTTACAACTCTATAAGGCAGGTGCTTTTTTTTACGGGAAATCTTAGAAAAATTTGATCAAAATTGGTGTCTCTACATCCATGGGTACAACTAAATAAAGGAAATGTTAGACACTTTGTTGTCATAAGGTCCTAAAATGCACATCTAACTGGGATTCAAACTGCTGTTTGTGAAAACTAACATGAAACTCACAAAATAATAAACCTTGCGACAAAAGATCTAGACTTTACAGTAATGCATATTCATGTACCTCTCTGTCTTTTTTGACCAGCAGTCTGCCTGTTGTCACTTTCCATTTCAATATAAGAGCATTCGTTAGTAATTTTTTCTCAAAATTATCTACATTGTGTTAACTAAAGATATTTTCAAGGCTTTTTTTTTTTGGTCAACTGCTTTCCATTCAGTCTGCTTGCATATATAAAGAAAATCAAATAAAATCTTACGTAAAAGAGAAAAAGAGGTGAGTACCATCATCTTGCATGTAAAAATGTAAAAATGGAGACAAACAACCTGTTCCA